CAAAGAACAAGAGACAAATTAGAAGACTGCTAAAGACCTCACAGCAAATCTAGTCTGGGCAGCCCTATCAGAAGAAACTAAAAAAAACAGACAAGAACCTTCTAGAAAGAACACTCTGGAGAGAATCCAAAGAAGAATTTTATAAAATAAGATCTAAAACAATTAAAGGTCTAGTTCAAGAAAATATAATAGAAAAGATACAAAAGTCATTACAATTAAGTAAAGAAGCCAAAACATATATTGAGCTGGCTTTAGATATAGTTTAGAATTGCTTTTATAAAAATATTTAAAAAGGAAGATACAAACTTCTTCGCAAATAGAAAATTAGTAAAAGAATCACAACCAGAGATAAAAAACAAGGAAACAAGATTCTGACAGAAGAAAAAAGAACAAAACCAGAATATAGTGAATCAAGATCCAAAAAAGAGAGTTCAAAACAATTTAGTAGATTAGATAAAATAGATAAAAAACAAAAAAAAAAAAAAAAAAGGGTTTAAAGAGGATAGAAAACTATTAGGTTAATAGTTTTAGAGATTTAATTCAAAACAGCTACAAGCCTTTTTGGTATGGTTTGTATGGCTAATTTAGTATTAGCCTTCTAGTCTTAAAAAAAATTTTTCAGATCAGTATAGCAGACCACTTCTGGATATCTACGAGATAGCCAGAAGATGTTAGATTTAAATATTAAGCTTAACATTATGTAATTTTACTTATATAATAATCTTAATAAAGAATTACTGGCTTGATTGTTAAAATTAAAAAAATAAAAAAAAATAATAATAATAATATGGATTTATTTATATGTACCCAAAGGTACATGTACTCGATCACGTGATTTAAATAAAACAATTGGCCAATAACAGATCATAATTTGATGTAACGTAATACAATTAGATAATATAAACAATTTACAATATAGTGATGTGCTATTTATATAATACTTGGATTTTTTTAGCGTACAGTATATACAGTACGTATAGTACATATAGTAGGATTTTTTTATATCATAGTTTCAGAATATTCTGTAATCGTTTTAGAATATTTAGAAACTTATAAATGTTATGGCCTAAACTTTATAACTTATAGAATGACTGCCAAAATTTTAGCGTACAGTATGTATAGTACAGTACGTAGCACATCACTACCCTAGACACCCTAACCCTAGCCTAAATAAACGATTTTTGTTACTTGGCCATAATTATATCACACGATAAATCAAACAAATTTTGTGTAATGACTATCATTTTAACAATAGATCCAGGTGCGTTTAATATCTTGATCTATATACTGAAAAATTATCTATATAATACGCTTGCATCTGGCTTTAAAATACTAAATTAAAATCTTAAAATAACTAAGAATGCCAATCAAAAATATAACTTTTAATACAGAACCTTTGCATCACTTTACATAAAAACTGCTGTGCTTTATGTGTAGCTATATTAAATATAACAATATTATACTTTTCTGTATCTCAATGAGTATGAGGATTATTATAATCTAATTAATCTGTTTTCAATCTTAGCATTACCATCTATACCTGTAGATGTAATATGTAAAAAAAATCACTTATAACTCAATTCACATGAAATTACTTTTGCGCACCAACAAAAAAGTTTCCTGATAAAATTTCAGCAAACTATATAACCCTTTAAACATAATCAATAGCAAACTTTTTTGCATATACATAAATTACTTTATGTTTACATCAAATCAATTAGGCATTTAAATTCTGCAATTGAAGCTCTAGCTAGTACTTAAAGTTTTTTATTATCATATGAAAGAAAGAAACATGGTCTGCTATTTAATATGAATATAGAATACCTTGCTGTTGATGCCATGCTTCACAACCAGCTCTATTATGTCCAGTATTTTGACATTGTTGACATTGAGTTGGTTTTCTACCTTTTGGTATTTCCGAATGTTCTTTAGTTTTTTTTATTTTTGCTTTCGAATTCATGGAATCCTTTAAGTCACTTTTTTCTTGGAGCGCCTCTTTTCGAGCGAACAATTGGGTTTTCAACTGCAATAAAACCTTCTTCATCACTAGAACTATAACTTGAACTAGTCTCATTTTCATATTCATATTGCCTCTTGTTCTTTTTATGAATCGGGGTTTCTTTTTTTTTGGTGTGTACTTAGTAATAAAACCGTTCATAAAATTTTCTAGTTCTTGTATAGCATTAGAGCCAGCATCTATCCTAGTTTGAATTGCTTTTTTAGACAATCTATTAATCGTTACATATGTTTTGCGATAGTTAACTTGTTTATGAACATCGCTAAAGGAAACATCTGGTAAACAAAAAGATGCATGAGGAAAAAATTGTTCAGAATTTTTTTCATCCGCATTGTTATTATTAAAACCAATAATAAAAGGTTGTTGTCGTGTTTGCAATTCTGATTCGAGTTGCTTTTCATTATTATACCATCGCTTTGGTATAAACATTATGTGAAATGTAGCGTAACTAGACACAGTCATGACTTGTAAAAAGTGTCTACAAACAAAGCCATTTTGTACTAAACCAAGACACGTACACAAGTGCGAATTGTTTTTGAACAATATAACATAATTTTTTGCTTTACGCCTGTGTTGAGTGACCTCCCAAATTTCAAGAACAGATTCACTTTCTGATGATGATATTAGTTCTTTAGCTAAAATTGCAGATGCATCCACAGAATCTTCAATAAAAGTATTAACATCAATTGAATCTATTTGTTCAGTTATCTCAAATTGTCTAGTCAAATCTGATTGTTGTAATTCTAAATCCTAAAAACTATTAATACGTTGAGATGTATACCATATAGCTTGGGCAATCTCTTGCCGTTGCATTGATAACGAAGTTGGTGTTAGGTATGCAGTAATCTATTTGTCAATGTCAGGTGAAAATTCAGAACTGGCATAGATAAGTGTGGGCCCCGTAGTAGAATGAATCTAATTTTTATATTGAACGAATGTTGATGCACGATCAATTTGTTCGTCAATATATTTCACAAGGTTGATTAAAGATGTACTACTATTGACTGAATTTTTTATAATACCATTTTGACCTTCAACTTGCTGCATTGACTACATGCTAGCAGTAAAAATTCTAGAAGTATAACAGAGAGCCCAATGTTTTTTTTCACCAAAAAGAATACGATCAGGATATGAGGCTGCATCAGAAAATTTTATTAAAAGTTCATTCCATAAAAGATCAAATTGCTGATACAAAAGAGCATTACGCATTCGATACCAATTTTGGAAAAACTCATTATATCTTTCACCAAGTTTACCTTTCAAATTCTTTATTAAGTTTTGGTCGATATGGTATATACAATGAACATGGTAGGTGTTGGGTAAGACATTAGCAATTGCTGCATTCATTGCAAGATCATTATCAGTTATAATTGTTAAAGGGGCAGCGCCAGTATTTGTAACTAGGGTTTGTAAAATCCACTCATAACTTTCAGCTGTTTTATCGTTCATAAGAACTTGTCCTACTAATCGGAAACGATTATTATTATCTACTACTACAAAAAATCTTAGTGCCATCTTAAACCGATTTGTTGAATAGGTGTTGTCATGTTGAATAACATCTCAGTATTGCATATACAGATCATGCTGATCAGGTGACATCCAATAAAAAGAAGTAAGAGAACTATTGCTAGAATCAACCTTCCAATTAACAATCCATCTAGCATCTTCAGCTTTATGTTCAAGAAGTTGATTAAGTAAAACAGCTGCCTCGGATTCAACATGATTTTGCTGTTTAAAATCAGAATTGCCTTTTCACGAAGCTGTTTAACCATATTTTCACTTTTCCAATAACTATCAGCTTGTTGTCCTGGCTTTATAATAACTTGGGCCTCTCGGTCCAGCCCAAGTCGTATAGCATCAGCCTCTGTAAGGTGCAAAGGACTATAGCATGCACACAAGAAGACACTAACCATAATTGCTAACCCTTGGCCTTTTTTCTTGATAATGGACTCTTTATCTTCTATCTAAAAGAATAAATTGTCATCATTAGCATAAAAGTAAACTTCATCATGAGTAACCAAAACATGGCGCATATCCCAAATTTCAAGCTGTTCTGGAGGTATGACATTTTCCATCTTATTACCATCATATTGTTCTATTTTTTTTTGATAATTCATCATTCTCATCACCCATTCTTTATGATATTCTCGCACGTCTTCATGTTTATATCTATCGAAATAGACCTAAAAAGTATCAAGCAATTTAAAAAAAAAAAAAAAAAAAAAAAAAAAAACCAATAATAATAATCATAATATTAGGCTATACAAATTTAATTATTTGGCTTTCATAACATGAAACTTTTAAATAGACCCGGTTGGCCAGATATTTTTTTTTATATATAAAAATTTGTTTTAGAAGTTTCCAAATTTTGGCCTGGCCAGGTTATGAAAAACTATTAATTAATTTCGCATGGCCTTACATACCTGTTGCCCTATGGTTTTTTTGTAAAAACCCCATAAGTGTATAAATTTTTGTGTAGTGGTTTCCGAATTAGTGATCAGTACTCCAAGCAATTTAGGAAAGATATTTGTTTCTAATTCTTTCTTTAGTGCTAAAGGGGAATGATCTTTTGGTAGAATAAAACGTAACCAGGTACAAGTCACCAGTTTGAGATCCTCATCATCAAGCAATGATTCTCTTTTTGCGTGTTTTTCCTGTTGATGTTTAGGTAAGATGCTTTGTTTAAGAAAGTCTTTTGCCTATCCTCTAATGCAACGAGATATATATTCTGTATTCCGAATATTCTTCCATAAAGTATCTGGAATTTTTTCTGATGCACTTATTTTTTTTTCACCATCTAGTAATAATCTATAATAATAGAAAATAGATATCACCTTTGTACTTCATAAGGTTGTGATTTAGCTAAATTTTTTTTAGCATTTTGAAGACTTTGAAGTTGATTTTTTAATTTGTTATAATGCTCCTCTATTCGTTGCATTTGTCATTTAAATTGGGCTAAAATATCTTCACGGTATGATAGAGCTGGTGCTTTTCTTTTATCTCATGCCTTTATGCTTTACATTTCATCAAGAGTTCGCATCTGTTTAGCTTCGTGTTGAAGTTGTTCCTGTGCCTTCCTTTTTTTCCAAAGGTTTGTTCTTGAGTTTCCTAAAATTTTATTATTAGTATAAAGATTTAAGATTAAGATATACATTTTGTAAAAACTATTTTAGTACTTTGATATTGATTTTTGATATGAAACTGCTGAGGTACCTCAGTGGTTTCACATCAAAAATTAATGCCGAAGTAACAAAATAGCTTTCAATTGTACTAGTATAAAAAGTGGGTTTCAATTTTTTATCGGCTTTTTCATACCATTCTATAGTTTTTAATGCATAATTTTGAAAGCTGTCATGTGTTATTTCAAATAACTCCTAGTCTTCCAGAATATCCATGTTTTCTTTTACATCATTTATATCTTTAGGATTAGCTACAAAGACACCAGCTTTATTACAGGTCTTGCTAGATGCAACTCGAGATTTGGCATTTGGGCGAGGCATTATGATGCTAAAAAGGTATGAATTTAAAAATCAATAAATTTTTTGCACGTATATTGTAATTTAATTAATCATGTTTTTTTTAGGAAATCAGTTTGACAATTAGATAGGACTATAGAATGCATTAAATAGTAAATATTTAATTTTATTTATTATTTATTTTAATTTAAATAAATTATTAATTAATAATGAAATCTTATGTTTTATTACAATTTTAACGGATATTGAATTTAAATATTTAAAAATTGAATTTATATTTTGTTTGTATTATGAACATATATAGTTTTTTAAATCTCAAAATAATTTAAATATAATAAGTTGGTTTTTGAACTGCAACTAAATCGATCTTATCTAACACATAAGGGCATAAATTAATATTAAATTCATTAATCTTGCTGGTGCTTAGTATTTAAAAGTATTACAATGACCAATCTACGTATATTGAAGGTGCTCTCAATCACCTAAATTGATTAGTAGAAAATAAATTATTTGATCAAGTGAGTTCATTATCGTAATGAAAAAAAAGATGGTCCGAGACCATCTTTTTTTTTATCATAGTGTTGTGCTGATTGGCTAAAATTTAATATCTGTATTTCACAATATAAATGAATCTTTGACAATTAATCGTAGTACTTGTGCATGATCTCTATAACTAGCCAATCACATTAAGCATTCCGAGTATCGCAAAGGAACAACCTGTAAATTTTATAAAGTTTTTCTCATTCTATTACGAGATCTACAGGATGGACACCAAAAGCCCAGGTTTGCATCACAGCCGTAGTATCTAATTGTTATATTACTTGCTAGCTCAACAACAAAAAAAGCCACTATTGTATAAATCACATGACCTGAGTTTTGGTGACGGCTCGAAATATGTATCACATGAATGTAATAGCGTATTCTGATTAGTTTAAATTAAAAACATATATGTTCACATTTTTTACAATTTATTAATAAATTGTTAATTTTTTTTAATTTTTAAAAGGTTACTGCTTTACCAGTTTAGCTATAAATTGAAATCTAAACCACAAGTTTTATTCTTTAGAACAAAAAGAACAAATCTTGTGGATTAGTTTTATATTTTATAAATTTTTAAAAGAAGAGTAGTATTTTTTGTAAAGCTATTTTTTATGGAGATTTAAAGCCGCTGGCACCATATAGTTATCCACCAATTGTCATACCTAGGATCTGCTTGTGGATTCCCTATTTAAACCCTCTGATTGACTTAGCATCATCAGATGCTTTCCCCGGAAGAATTCCTGCTGCTAAGGCCCCTTAGAACTACTTTATCCTCGTGATAAACCTACTAGAGCGGTCCATGTCCCACACATGTATTATCTGGGTTTTTCAGTAACTTATACCCAATCCGAGGACTGGTACTTGCAGCTTTTGTAGCTGCTACTATTACCTACTCCTTGCTCTTACAAGGTTCATTCCGATCCCGATATCCACTTTCAACCAGTTCTTATACTGATCCCTCCCCAACTACCAAACCAGTTAGCCCAGAAAGGTTGTTGTACCTAGGCTCTAAGTGTTTTCTGGTTCTACTTCTCTTGGTTCTGAATTCTGTAACATCAGACCTTTTTCTTTGGTGTGACTTCGGCAGCCAGATTGGTGGACCCTTCTTGCTCCAGGGTTGTTCGTCTGGTTCTTCAGTCTCTGATTCTGATTTTCTGTAGTATCGTCAAAGATCTTCACTACTCCTAGCTTGGGTCTTGCTAAACAGGTTTCAAATATTCTGGTTCCTTGAATTTGGATCGCCCTAAAGCTTCCATAATGAGATGGTAGTACCAAGATTACAGGTAATATACCCAACCAATCGTCGAATAAATGTTATCAGAACACAGGTCTATTTTTTAAAAAACGTCTCCAGTGAAAATCAAACTCTAGACCTGCCGCTTGGGGGTAACAACTTAACCACTACTCTATGTTACCACACTCTCTTTCATTTTACTATTCAGCTATATTTTTAAAAATCTTAAAATCTTCATCTCTTTCTCTTTTTAAATCCATTTGTTGCTGAAGAAAATCTTCTTAACTTTGCTTTTGTTTCCTGTATTCATTGTGATTAATTTTGTTTTCTTTCTGTTAATTTGTATATCATTTATTCTAAAAAACTCTTTAGCGATTATAAGTGTTTCTTCCATCTGCTCTTTACTTTTTGCAATCTATGTAGTGTTATTTACAAAGGCCACAACTGCTTGTCTCCATAAACCTCTGTTTGTATAGTTTAAACTTAAGTTAAAGTAATTATTGTGGCCTATGATATAGTCTAAACTAGCATTTTCTTGGATTCTTTCTAGAAGAGAATTATAAAATATTCTCCAAATTAGAGGTAAAATTACTTCTTGTTCAATTCCTTCTTGAATCTCAAAGAATTTTGTTGGGCCCAGACCCATGATGATTCTGAATTGTCTATTTATAAACAGATTTAATTAAAGTTTAATTGTAATTTTGGATAGCTTGATTCTTTCTAATACTTTTTGCAAAGCTTCAAGTGATATTAAATCAAATATCTTCTTCATATCTTGAAGTATAATCTACAGTTCCTTTTTGTTATCTTTTGCATCCTCCATAATTGCATTAAGAATGTATACCAGCTTCTCTGTAGAGTTGTTTGGAAGACCTGCAAAGTTAGGCCTTTAAGTATATTCTTCTTGAAGAGAATTTCTTAAGTTTTTTCATAAGTATCTTGATTATATATTTTCAAAAGGTTTCTAATAATACAATTGGTCTAATATTGTTCAAATTATAGTGCCAGTCCTTGTTCTTTGAAATTGGATAGATTTGAGCCAATTTTTACTTTTTAGAGATTTTTCCTGTTCTTATACAAAAATCTGCTATCATTTTAAATACTCTTTGAGCTCGTTCACTTGCTGCCTTAATCAGCATATAAGTGATATCAGAGATCTCTGATACCATATTCATCTTTAGGTTTGCAAATATTTCTATCTATTTTTCTTCTAAGATGTCATTATTTAGATTTTTGTATCAAGCATCTTGAATTTTCTTTTTTGGGCTATAAATTCTATATCAATCTCCTTTCAAAGCACTTTTTTGAAAGTTTTTTGATCTGAATTGATTCTTAAAATATTTATATATTTTCTCTAAAACTCTGTTCAGATCTGTAATTAGTCTTCTTAAAAGGCTATCTTCTATAAGTAATCTATCAATCTTGATTTTTCTAATTGGCTTGTTGAGTAGACTTGCTATCATCTTTCCTTGTTTTCTATCAATCATCTGATATCATTTTTGATATTTTTATTTATTTCCTTACTTCTAATCTTTTCAAGTTCTTCTCTTTTCAGTTTGTTAAGGATTTTCCACTATCCTCTTAAATTTTCAATAGTTTTCTGAGTTTAGCTTTAGATCTCCTCTATGTAGATTCTACAACAGAGATTGATAAGTTTTAATTTGCTTATTAAATTCTTGTATATCATTTACTAGCTAGTGAAGCTTGAGATTTTTTCTTTCTAGGCTTATTCATCTATTCAAAAAAACTATTAATTGTACAAGTTCTGACTCTTCTTTTGTTTGTCTTTAGAGGCTTGTTTGCTTAAGATTTTTTTTTAGATAATGTCTTCTGGGCCGCAATAATAATACCTTTGTTCACTAAATTCCAAGCTTTAATTAGAAGTCTTTGAGTTTTTTCTTCTGCTTGGTTCTCTGTTTTTACTAAATCTCTTATTAGGTTCTCTTTTTTTTAAGTATTCTTTCTAATTTTTCTCTATAGAAATTTCAATCTTCTTTGGTTGCTTTATCATAAAGAAAGACTGTTCTTTTGAAATTTTGCTTTTTAAGCTTAGCATAACTAACTGCTGAAATTAAATAACTTAGTTTAAATTTTGCTAGTATGACTCCGTGATCACTACTGGTAATGATATCTATGTCTTAAATTTTTGCTTTATATAATCTACTTGCAAGGTCTTCTGAAATCCAAATTTGGTCGATTTTAGAATTTTGTTCTCCATTTGTTTAAGAAAAATCTCTACTTCTTGAGTTTATTAATCTGAAAAAGTTTTCAAAATTTTGCTTTTGAAGCCATCTAAGAAGAGGATCCAACTTAAATAGTTCATTCTCTATATAGTGTGATTTGTCTTGAAGAGGGTCTGAAATATAATTAAAATCACTCATAACTATTAATTATGCCTTCTTAGATTGGTTGATATTATACATATCACCGAAATAGGTTTTCAAAAAAACCCTATTTCGTCTCCATTAGAGCAATTTAGAATTTTTTATATGCAAAAGCAAATCTAATTTAGCTAGTTATATTCTTTATGATTTTGTCTCTTCAAAAAAAGTGTCAAAAAATTTCATCTTTTAAGTAAAATAGGTTAAAAACAATTTCATTTTCAAAATTTTAATTTCATACTCTGAAACCCAAAATAATTTCATCAGTATATATAGTTGATATATTTTTTCAGAATCTTTTTTTGAACTTTCTTCTTTTTATTTTTATTGTTTGGTAGTAGATATACTATTATTATAATTTTTTTGGCTCAATTATAGTATAGATGATCTCTTTTTATCAGCATTATACCAATTTTTGGCCAAAATTATTACAGGGAGACCCGTACGCGTATATATATATAATACTATTATATACTCTTTTTTTATACAATTTTTAGAGTATATACTCTATTTTTTAGAGTATATACACTATTTTTTGGGGTATATACCCCATTTTTTGGAGTATATACTCATTTTTTAGAGTATATTATATATCACGTGATCTCTATTTTAGAGTACTTTTTTGTATAATCTAGACCAGACAGGGTTATAGGGTATGCACCCTATTTTTTGGAGTATATATCTCAATTTTTAGGGTGCATACTCTAAATTTTAGGGTAGGGTCACCTATACTATATTTTAGACTTTTTTTTTTTTAATGTTAAAGTGATCTCATAGTCAGTTATCTTTATTAGTTTATATGCTAAACTGATCGAGTCAGCCACTACTCATTTGGTACATAGTTTTGGAGAATACAACTAGCCACATGTACAATTTTTAATTGTCTATTTAAGTAGTCCACCCGAAGGTTCTACACTAAATACTATATCTATAATCCAACTAGAGGATTATTTATTTAAACCCTCTGTGCTGCTATATCCTTATAAAGAACCAATACCTGCTATAGGAAGCTTCTCGACCTAGAGCTAATTTACTCTTAAGGTAAACTTGCTAGAGTTTTCCATATCTACAATCCGGCTAACCTAGACTTCAGTAACTTATACCAAGTCTGAAGACAGCAACTTGCGAGCTGAAGCCGCTACTATTATCTACTTCTACCCTTGTAAAGTTCACTCAAACCCAGTACCCACTTTACAGACTATACTTTTCAAATTTTTTAAACTACCAATCCAGATAGCCCAGAAGGGCTGTGACCTGCCCTTGGTCCTTACAGTTGAGTTCTTTTTCTCTAGTTACTCTTCTGGTGGTCTGGTTAGTAAAGTGTCTTGCCAAACACTTCGGTCTCATTCAGTCAATTCGCTTTTCTAACTATAATCCTTTATGTAGTAACATCAAAAATCTGTGCTATCTCTCTACTTGGGTCTTGCCAAGTGGGCATCTAATCTTCTCGATTTCTTGAATTTACTATGATCTGAGAACTTTTTTTGTATAACTCATATATTGCACAAATGCCCTATGATCTCACAATCTTGTTGGTGCTACCAAGGTTACAGAGATCCTGTTTTAACTGATCAACAGAAGATAGTAGCATCGTACAGATAGAATTTTCAAAATTCATCACCAGTAGTTTTGAACCCCCTACCTATCTAACATACCACTTGGGGGTGTAACAACTTAACTACTTCACTAAATCACCACATTCTCACTATTATTATAATTAGTTCTAGCTGTTTAAATATAAAGCTAGCTATTATTAAGTATTCATTTTTTCTTTCAATTTGACCTAAATATTTTTTCTATTGTTTGCTTATAAGAAGGCCCTCCTAAGCTTTTTTTTTTGTTTGGACTTGTATTTAAGATATTTGTTTCTGTTAGTCCTAATATATCTATATTATATAGTAGTATCTATTCATATAATGCTTTTAGCTTTTGTTTGTTGCTTTGCAAACTGTTTATGTTGTGACAGGTGATTTCTAATTTAGCTATACTGTTTCTATTTTTGAGTATTATCTTCTATCTATTGTAGTTTGTTTTGTCAATCTTTATATATACTAATTTACCTTTTTTCTTTTCTTTGTTATTAGTGTAATATATTTTAGAGATGCCTTGATTTAAACATAAGCTTGAAGAACTACTTAATATTGAAAAGAGGTTCATCTTCTCTATCTTTTTCTTTATTTCAATTAGAGTTTCCTTAGGAGTAATTGGCAGGTAAAACCTGCCTTTTGCTCAATTTGTATAATCTATTAAGGATTTCTTGTAAGATCAACTGTTGCTAGTCTATTCTGTTTTTCAATTTAAGGACTTTATTCTTTTTATCTTCTAGTTACAGGCTTATGAATTGTTTATGAAATTGCTTCTCTACTTCTGGATCTACTCATGATATTTCTTCTGCTAGTTTTTTTATATTTTCCTTTTCATCACAGATCTTGACTTGTTTTTCTTTGTCTTTTGCTTGGCTTCTTTCTTCTTTGTTAGGACTGCTTTTGTTTGCTACATTTATATTTTCCAAATTTCTATTTAATACTTCAGTATAGATAGGTTTCTTTCCTTTTTTTCCTTTGGAATCTATCTATACTAATTTCTTGTTATAATAGTAAACTTGTCTTTCTTATATATTGAGGCAATCTTCTTTATTCTTGAAATATATTAATACAATACTTCTCCTGTTATCATTACTGTTACAAGGAATGTATACTGCTTTGGCCTTGGTTAGTTTGAGTTGACAAAAAAGTGAAAACTTTAATATGTTAAGAAGAAGATCTTGTAGTCTGGCTACCTATTTTTTTTTATTACTTAACTCTGTTTTGTCAAAGTAACCTGGAGTTAATTGATACATACTTCTTTTTTCAAAATGTACTATCCAACTTTCTTGAAGTGCTTTAAATTTTTCTTGATTTTAACAAGTAATTTGAATATAGGCTGCTTTGGACTTATTGTTCTCTTGGTGGGAGTCTTTTCATCAAGAACTTTTGCTTTACTATAGAAATTTAGGCTTTTCTTTACTCTACTAGCCTATATATCTTTTGGTAGATTCTATAGAATTAACTTGTATTCTGGTTTGAGACTTTGGGTTGCTTCTTCCTTCATTAGATTCTTGAATATTTTTTCTTTTAGTATTGTTTCCTCCTTTAGTGATTCTTCTTTAGGCCTGTTTTCTGGTACCCAAATTGATTTGTTGATATCTTTTGGTATCTATCTAGATCTATATATATTTTTATGTACAATATTGTATTTCTTTTTCTTCTTTTTTCTAGATGGGACTTCTACTATTCTTTTACTATGTCTTAATAGTACAAGGTTTTTTGTTTTTCTGGTCTCTTTGTTGTGAGTTCCATATTTTGCATATAGCAAAATTATTTCATCCTCTATCTTTTTATTGTCTGAACTTTCTAAAATTTCTTTTTCTGATTCATTCAAAATTGTTTTAGCTATTTTATCTACACTACTGTTTTGTTGTTTGGGCTTAGGTTCTTCTTTATTCATTTCTTTAATATCTTCTATAACTGTATACTTTCTTTTTTTAAGTTACTTTATAAATAAATAGTTGCTATAGGTTCTTCTATTTCCATCCTAGCTTAAACTAGTGAAGATTTTCTTTTTTCTATTTTTGGTTCTGGTAAGACATTTTTATTTTTCTCTTGATGTCTTTTTGCAGCATGATCCTCCAAATCTATTGTTTTAGTCTTTGGATCGATATCTACTAATTCTTGATCTTCTGTATTTAGTTTTTCTTCTTTTGAGTATTTTTGAAAAGCTGTTTTGTAGTTTTCTAATGCTATACATATAAATGATACAAATTCTGGATCTTCTAATTTCAAAAAATTTGTTACACTTCTGTTAGTTTAGAGAATAAATCTTTTTTGCATCTTATATATCTTCTGTTTTTGTTTTATTAATAGTACAAAAACACACTTAATTTTTTTTAAAGATGCTATTTTAGTACTAGATTTAAATTTAATTTTTCTCCGATTAAGCTAAATTCTAAGTCTGTTGCTTTAGATTCTATTTCTACTAAACTTGGCTTTTTAAAAAAATCTATTTTTAATAGTAGTTAATCGTCATATCTATTGTTTGTTGTTGTTGGTATCGTTATCAATCACATATATTGTTTGTTGTTTTGATATTTTGTTATATCTAAAAATAGTAATATGATCTACTATTTGTTTGTTTGTTTATTTGATCTTACATGTTTGTTTTGTTGTTTTTGTTTACACATCTCTAAGATTGGATTTTTAGGGTCTAGGTGAATTTCCAAAATTTTTAAAAATTTTTTGAAAGTTTTTATTTTGTCACTAGTATAAAAGTTTTTGTAAGAAACTATTCTAATAAACTAAAGGTTAATTTTGGTGTTCTTTCTTTTTCCTTAGTAAGAGAAATCTTGTTTTTTATACTAGTTTTTTTAATAAAATATAGTTTTAGCCTTAAATTAATTAAAAATTTGTTGTAGATTATAAATTAGTGGAAAAAGTATATATAAATATATTATTATTGTTATAATACATGATTTTTTATAATTATATATTAATAACAAAAGGATAAATATATACATCACATTATGTGAAATAATTAATTATCACCTATTATAAGCAATACTAATATATAATGATGCTACTGTACATCACTATACAATGTCAAAATATTATCGCTATTAACAGTTTACATCACTATACGATGTATATAATCAATCATATACTAAACAAAAGATCAAAAATTATAGTCGATATTATAATTCCTGAATTCTGTTTTGATATATAATCAATTATATATATTGCATAATGATGTAAAATCTGAAAGTTTTATTTATATTATGCAATCTACATGCTTTAGTAATTCTTAGATCTATTTTTTTTTCATTGCTTTCATCGGTTTAATTAATCTTTTTTTCATCACTTTGTTGATTAATTCTTTAAAAAAAATATTAATAACATAGAGCTACAAGAAATTACAAAGAATACAATAGATCTTTTAGATTATTATCTAAAAAAGTTAATAGAAATAGAACAATATATTTGCTTTGACGAAAATATTGCTACCAGCAAAGTCTACGAAGATAAAGAAGCGCTGACTAATCAAATTAATATTAACTTTGAAGAATGTGATGATAGCATACAGGCTAGTGTAAGTAATAGAATTGTGGTGGCTTCAGAAGATATATCAAAAAATACTGTATTCAACTCTTGGACAGAAGTTGAAGCTTTTTTTGAGAAATATAGAAGACGAAATAGATTTATAGTGATTAAATATCGTGTAAGGAAGGATAAAGGTAGTCTGATTCATAAATGAACTTTAATATACAAGTTTGAAGAGAAATATAGTTTTAATAAAAGTGAAACTGCTATTTAAAAAAGTAAGCCAAAAAACACCAAATCAAAAAAGATAAACTATCAATAGCATATAAATCTCTCTTATAGAGATACCAGAACTAATATATCGGTCATTACATTTGTAAATGAGCACAATCATAATATTAACTTTGATGCTTAAGAGTTTGAATCCAAATACCGTTTTCTTAATGAAGATATTTTGAAAGAAGTTGAAATTATGATGAAACATAGAAATTTATCTATAATAGCACAATAAAATATAAAATATATTAAAAAAATGTTTTCCTGATTTGTATTTTCATGATAGTGATCTTAATAATGCTATCCAGAATTTCAAAAGAAAAAAAAAAAAATTGAAACAAATAATGTATTAAACCTACTTAATTCTTTATTAACCAACAAAATAGATAATTCTAGATGATTTGTGAAATTTAAATTAGATAAAGATAACAGACTTATGCAGTTGTTTTGGATATCACCCGAGCAAATTGACCTGTGGCTAAAGTATTATGATATAGTTATTAGCAATAACATAGCCAAAACTAATCAATATCAAATGCCCTTAGAGTTATTTGTAATTATCGATAATAATAGAAGAACATAGCTCGTTTGCCAGGTTTTAATAAGTAATAAGATACTTGATACTTATACTTGGGTTCTTAATTATATTAAAATAACTACACAAACAGAACCCTTGATTATTTTTACTGACACGGACCTAGCTCTTGATAGTGCAATTCATATTGCTTTTTCTAAATTATATGCTGCACATTGTATCTTTCACATTGGACAAAATTTATCTAAAAATCTTAAATCAAAATTAGATAACAAATGGGATGACTTTATAAAAACCTTTTACCAGTATCATAACAGTCTCTGTAAGCCACTTTTTCAAAAGTATTAGAATGATATGCTCAATAAGTATCTAATAGCGAAGAATTATTTGTTGTGTGTTTTATTTCTATGTAGTTGGTTTTGGGCACGTGCCTACCTGTCAAAAATATTCATAGCTGGAATTAAAAGTACAGCACAAGTTGAATCATATAACTCGGTTATTAAAAAAGAAAATCAAATTGCACATTATGTGAACTTGCAAGTTATTTTGATTAGCGGCTAAAGATAAAAACTCAATGGAATAGATTTCATCAATACAAAGATTCGACAACGTTTTTCACCATACCTGTAGCAGGAAATGATCTTTTTTCAACTGTGACAAAAATTATTGACCAATTTTTTATAAAAGTCATTAACAATATGATTAAGGCTAAGATGACACAATGTTTGTTTCTTATAGCTAACAGGATTGAGCCAACAGCTGAAGAACTTAATTTTAACAGGAGGTCGATAAAGACATTTCATGTGGGTTCCTTGAAGATAATTATGATACAAAGCAAATTACTCTTCAGGCTATGATAAACAAAGTAGGAAGTGAAAATATAAAGAAAATCTAGAAGATTTCTAATCTCTGTAGTGAAAAAATATTATATATATTTCCTAATCATTATAAACTCAATATTATTCCTATACTCTTGTCTTATAACTATTTTTAAAGAACTTGTCTGTCAGCATTATTTCTGTATAATAATATATTCTAAAATTATAGCTTTTTATATTTTAATAGTTGCCTCACGATAGTATAAAGATTCCTATTAAGAAAATTAATTGTATAAAGATGAAGATATTATTTTCATTTATAAAGAGGGTATTATTGATGAAGAGTATTATAGTGAAGAGATTTTTTTAATCCAAAGACAATTAACAGTTTCCAGGATCCTGATCACAAAAAAAGTTTTACAAAAAAAAGCTCAATATAGTAAAATTTAGGGGTTAGCTTGTAAGATAATACTATTAGCAGTAGATTTTAATGATAATTAAATTATAACTATCCTTCAAACTTATATTACAAACAAAAAAAATAAACAAAATATGCATCAGAACCACACTCAGAACAAAATGAAGGAAAGTAGATCTTTACAAGAGTTTTCAGAATCTATATATATTAACATTATAGATGATAATCAAGTCATATCTAAAGAAAAAAATTATACTGAAAGTAATACAATTAGTAATGATAATTATTATACTGATAATGCAACTTCTGATAATAAAGTAACTAGCATCAAGGTTCCACAAAATATTCAAAATCTTGCTCACATTATGGAAAGAGAAGACTATCTAAGCGTCGTTATATAAGTAGCATAGAAAAGGAACAAAATTGCGAAAAAACTTCTAGAAATGCATATAGGTGCCACCAATGTGGTAAAGTGGGTCATAATGCAGCTTATCATAAGTGAAAAGGGAAGAGCAATAATTAGTTAATATATGTCTGTTTTCTAATTTGTCTAATTCTAGTTTTTTTTTTTGATTGATTGTATATATAGCTTTATATAATACTGTAACTACAATAAGAAATTAATATCTTGAATATTGTATATAACAGATTTAAAATTCTGTTTGGCTAGACCACTATTAAATAACATCAGCAAATTAAATATGTATGCTATATAGCGATGGTTTTATTATAGCTCACAGATAATTGAATCTATTATTAAAGATTTATACAAAAACTATTAATACTGGTCTAGCTAATCATAATTTATTTTAAAATTTGATCATGCTGTTCAGAACAATTAAAAAATTGCAATGATTGAATAGATATATTTTGGTTTTGGTTAATTATCTATTTGGTCAAGAACTTTTTTAGCTATCTTCGAATTTATAAGAACAGCTTTAATACGTATATTGCTTTTTTTTAAATAATAGTTATCAGCATAAATAATCTGATTATGTATATGTAATATTCAAGATTTGCTATAAAATTGAACTATTCAAACCTGAATTAGGATATAGTGCAAAAAAGTCTTAAAGCGTATATATTTTTAAACTGAACTAATCTAAAAAAAATAATAATACATATATAATATATAATGATAAATAACTATATCACTTTCTAGATGTGAAAAATATTTATATATTTTGCATAATGTGATGTTTAATTAAGCTCTTAACAAAAAATAATATATATATTATAAATTTATCTATAATAGATTACTTGTCTATTATCTACACTATTATATAATCTTATCAATAACTCTTTACAACAAGTTATTAACTCAATATTACTGGATATCTTACTAGAATCAATTATTATACTTTATAGTTAAATTAAATATCTTGATAGTATAATATTTTATTACAATTAGCATATTCTATCTATCAACTTTATTTTGTTTGGGCTTGTTTCTTTTAATATTATAAATCTATTTAAGAATATTATATTATCTGCTATATTAGTATTAACTATCATTATTAAATTTTTTTTATACTTTAATTTACAAATTTATTATAATATCTGAATATTTTATTATACTTCTTATTCTTCAATTTAATCTTTTAATAATACTATATTTTTTTTATCAGTTCTATATATCTTCTTCAATCTTTCAGTCTTTTCAACTCTTATTTCTCACTATCAGTATTATTAAATTTGCATGGTCATTAGCTAGTACTAAAAATAGTATTATAGTATCCTTTATAGATTAAATATCAAACAAATTTAAACTATATAATTATTAATATACAAATCTAGATAAGCTATAGCCAGTGATATATGTTTTGACTGTCCAAAGGCTTTTTTGATACTGTCTAGTATCCAAGTATCCAAGTGTCCAAAAGTGTCTAAGCTTTAATAATTAATAAATTTGTTTAAAAAATATATAATTATATACGTTTTTAAGTACT